TGCTGAGCCAGAGCAAAGATTTAACGAACTCTCTAATGTACATATTAGTTTCACTCCCAAGGCTTATTCTTACATTCCTTAGGGAAGGAAGAAGCTGTAACATCACCAATAATCTTCCCCGATGGAAATAAAACTTGCAACTATGACAAAAATCCTCTGTGACTGGTAGCCAAATCCACTCATTCTCATGCTGCACACTCTTTATGTGAAACAGCCTTCGTGAGGAAAGTAGTTAAAACGTGCCAGCTGCCTGTGCTGACAACCATGTATCCAAAAAAGCAGTCTTTCAAACAAAATGGAGATACTACTGTAAGCAACACAAACACTGTCTTCTGCTCACCTTCACTGTGAAAGCAGCCCTAATAAAAGATTCTAAGAAGTCAAAGAGTAACTGGCTTTGGTTTTTCCCTTGCACTTTGCTCTTGCCACTCCTGTGATCACCTCACATTCCCTCTGACTCATGTAAAGCTTTACAAGACATACCACGCAAGGTTTCTTCAATCCTTAGCTAGCAGGCACTTGCACAGTTACATGTGGCTCTAAATCTTCAGGGATAACAACTGAGTACATACACACTTTTACAATAAAAGTTTGCAAAAACCAGTTTTCTCTGTATTAGTAGTTTAGGCCTTGTTTTTTGAAGCCGCCCAAACCAGCAAAGGAACGAACAAAAAGATCTTTTGCTTACCTGGATGCTACAGCCCATCCTGGCAAGCCAAATCTTTCATAGTCTCCTCCATAAATGTCTCGAACCAGCTTGTCCGCGTGTGTGCTGTCCCCTTTGGACGCCATTTCCAGAGCTTCCTCAAAACTTTCACAGCCCGTCAACAAACTGCACAGACCAAGAAAGGTCCCTCCACCCAGACTACAGGGAAAGAAAACTCATTGTTCTTAAACAGCATTTCCTCACATCAAAGATTCTTATGTCTAACAAAATAAAGAAAGCCCTCCAACTTTGATACCAAGGCATCTGCTTGCTTGCCCAAGGTTCACTACTCAACCAGCTGTCAATCAATTTAGCATTCCATTTCACATTTATATAAATCACTTACAGAAAGCTAACCATATAGTAAAAATTAACAAAGAGTTATAAACTCTCAGAATCTAAGCTGGAAGACTTAATCGGACAAACTCCCTGAACATCCACATCAGCCCACTGACTCTGACCCTTGATCATTTCCTGTAAAACAAACTCTGGGAATATTTATTCTTATAGAGCAAGAGAAACACAAGCTCAATGGACACAATCAAAAGTTGAGATGATCTATAAAACTCTCACTATGGAGCACTTCTAGCACTCACTGATTGATAAAAAAAGATATTAGCTACATGTCCTCAATAAGAGAACTATGGGAATGGGCTTCAATGCATGTAGCAGTAAATTAAAGATACTAGTGAGCAAGGAAGGGATAGATGGGGGCAGTTGGGGGACTAAACACTTGGAAAACAGAATACTCATTGTTCTATAGAGTAACGACCCAAATTTAGGTTTTTAAGTTACCTTGTTCCAGTTACTCTTTTATAGTTGTCTTTGGAATGGACTGATAAAATACTGACTCCTGAACCAATGTTAACAACCAGCAATGGGTATGGATCGTCCAGGTTAAAAGGCATCTTTTGGCATCTCTCAGGATCTGAGGCATTTTCAAAATAATAGCACTCTGCCTGGCCATTGAAGCTGACAGAGTCTATATACAATAAGCCTTTGACAAGGCAGTCAAGCTCATCCAGTTTGTGCAGCTGGAGGTTTCCAATCTGTGTTAAAAAAGAAAAAAAGACAGTGACAACATGTTATAACATTGCTTAAACATGCTACAAATTTATATTTGTGTTGCCTAACTTTAAGAAGCTATCTCAGGTGACTAATTTGGGAACTTCAAAACCACTGCAAAGCCAACAAAGAATTCAGAGGTAAATTCTGAATACATTAACTAGCAAGTTATTCTGACTATAAATTCTGATCTTAGACTTGAATCATGAGCAGACAGGCAGTATGAATATCTGCTTTGCTAAGCCCAAAGATAACTTATGAGATACTCAGACATTAATCCATTGAAAAATTAGAAACATTTCTCATCAATCTAAATTAAAAAAAGTCAACAAATATCTCCTCATTTTAGAAATCAGTCATTTCTTGGATATCATCAGATAAAAACTGCAATAGCATCGTACTACCTATCCTTGCAACTTTACTAACAGTCCAAGGACCATAAGAAAGCTACAGGTCAGACATTCTATTGAGTTTTAGGTTTGTTACAGTTCTACCTCAGATTTGCACATGACATATAAGCTGCTGTTCCCTCATAAAGCAAAAAGTCAATTTAACAGGTGCTGTGAATTCTGGAAAGGCTCTAACTTCACACCATACTTAATCCAGTTTAATTGTTGGCTTTCACAAAAAGTGTGAGCACACCCTCTCCCTTACCACAGCAGGGAGTTCCAACAGTTAGACAGTCCAACTAGGCAGCTAATCCACGAATAAACACCCATGAAGTCTACCTCTCCAGTCTATCAGCCTGCACTAGATTACCAGATTGCACAAGCAGACTGGATTGCACACTGCTGACTGACATCAGCACCAGAACAGAGCACTGCCAGTCCCCTCCTCCTCTCCCTGGTTCCTTCAGCCTTCTTTGCTGTGCCACAACTGCAAAGCTTCCCTGCTGAGCAGCTCAGGGAACTGTTCCAACATAAAATATTTCTGTGGGGTTTTAGATAACCAATTAGTTCTGCTGTACAGACTGTGATCCCACCCCATGAACAGTTGTACCAGCTCAACACAAGACTGGCACGGGGCTGGAAATACAATCAGATTTTTGAAACCAATCATTTTGTGCTACTAAAAGTCATCTTGTCTCTACAAGCACAAGAGGCCTGCACCCATGTTAAATCTAGGCCATGTGTACACCAGACACTAAGTCTCTTATATTAAATTCTCAGTAACAACTATCTTCAGATGCAAACTGCATCTAAACAAATAATCAATTTTGATTGTCAAGGGAAGAGTTGAAACACCTCAGGAAAATACCAAACTGCTCTGCAATTGAAAAAAAGACTGCTTCTGAGATCTGTGTTTTGCCACAGATCTCTAAACAACGCAATGGACTAATTTAGTGAGGATAATCTCATCCACAAACACTGAAAACCTATCATCAGAGACTGCTTAGGAAAGTAAATCCAAAGTGACTCAAGCATCTCAGCAGCTGAAGCACATTTCTCATCAGAGGAAACAGATTAGAAAATGGTTAACTGCCAAAAAGGTGTCCTGCATTTCACTGCACTAATAGAAGTGTCTAATTAGCCATTAGCATTAGCTCTTCATGTTTATTACAATGCCAGAAAGCATATTTTTAGATTATCATAGTTAAGACCGAAAGATAAATGATTAATTAATAATCTTTGAGCATCCACAGCTTTTTGAAATGCTGCTTATCTCAGCCCCTCATGAGCAGTGGGCTGAGCATCAGCTGCAGCCCGAGCCAAGACAGGCTACCTACTGTGCGAAAGTCTTCTTCAAACTTGTAAGCACCACCACCGGTGGCACAGAGCACCGTGTGTAGTGTTGAAAAGTTTTTATTTCTTCCCATTTGGATAAAAGTAGGCAAATCATGCGTTGGGAAACGAATAAAGTGCAAGTTTCCTCTTCGAGCAAAAATCGTTAAGTCTTTCAGCTCAAGGTGGACATCTCGAATGCCAGTGGATCCATAGGCTACATTGGAAGTCAGATACTTGCGGATGCTTTTCAAGCTTTCAACTTCTTCCTGCTCCTCCTCTGCAGTGATATCAATAGGTTCAAAATATGCAAGTTTCACCAAAGTTCCCCCAATGTCCATGCCAAACCATGGAAAAGCTGTGAAGATAAAAGAATTGATTGATTAGCTTTGTTAAAGAGCAAAAGAATACATGGAACTTCAGACTAACCCAACGCTGTACTTTTCAAAAAGACAGACTTGCACAAAAAAGCCCAGAGGAACAAAGAACTGGTACTCATTTCCATTAAAGGATCTTAAACAGCCCTCTGGCTGCAGGGAAAAATGCAGGAAGCAGCAACACTATTTACACATTTAAATGCTGTCACATGTGCTCAGAAAACCCAGCTAAAAACTCCCCAAACCACACCACATCTTTTATACCTACGCTATCTCCAAGCACGAATAAAGGCGTTCTGTCAACCTGGTATCTGGCTAAGATCTAAGCATGAAGTCACATATGATTTGACTTCACAACTGCAAACCCGACGTCTTGGCACTGTGACTCTGGACATAAAATTTCTCATCTTACTGTCTGAACACAATTAACTGATGATTTATTAAGTAATCTCACTAAGTTTCAGCCTCTTGTAAACAATGTCACAAGACCAAAACTGAAGCAGGGAATTTGATCCACCCAGACCAGAAAGTGTCAGGAGTCAATCCAGCCCATTACAGCATTTAACTAGCACACAGCAAGCCAAGTCCTACCTGAAGCACTTGGGATTCTTCCTGTTCAGTGGGCTTGGTCAGAGTTCTGACAAGCAACTGGGCTCACGTACTTATAACCTAACTTACTCCTTACAGTAGCAGCCCAGAGGAAGATGGTACACCAGGATTCTTGTGTAAGTCAGTTGCTCGTGACTGGTTTATATAACAGGTCTGGCCAACAAAATTAAAGCCATTGTTTTCCTAACACACAACTGGATATACATACATATATATATATACACATGGCAAGCACATGATCAGTTGTATCCTTGCAGTCCCAAAATCACAGCTATGGTTCAGGATTTATCCATGCTTGAATGGCCTTTAAATATGAAAACTACACAGATTGTACAGACTTAGAACGTTAATTGTACACAGACACAACATGGAAACCTTGTGAGCTCTCCTAGCACTGCAACCTTCAAATCAGCTTGTTTTGGATGGTTCCTGGCTCAGGATCCACCCTGTGTGGATGTAGGAGGAATGGAGCAAACAGGAACACACATGAAAACACCGGTTCCTCTTCCACTGACTGAAAAAGTGATTTCATTTGCAGATGTCCTGGTCTGAGTTAGAACACATCTAATTCTGTTCAGTGATTTTACTTTTCAGCTCAGTTTCTCCTAACTGCATTTTCTGAATGTAACTGCAGATTTCTGCACATTATCTCCTAGCAGTGATGAGGCTCCATGTTCAGAGTTCCTACCAAGGACTGGTGCACTGAAAGGCTCTTACTTGTACCTGCTCCTGTGCAGACCAAGGTCACTGCTAAACCCTGTGTAGCGGTTGGAGCAACCTTGTGCATGTTGGGGGTGCAGAAAGTAAAAGGCTGCATCTGTGGGGAGGAGTGGGCAGGGCAGGTGTCCACTAAACTGCCCAGTGAGGGATTCCAACCCATGCAAAGCATATTCCATAAAAAGCTGAGGGATCACGAGGGTCAGGCCTCTTCTTCAATGCCCAGAATCCAAGAAGGACTCTGTCCAAGGAGGACTCTGCCTTCAGTCCCAATCCACACGTTCCAGAATCTGTTTTCTGTCTGCCACTGAGTCCAGCCTAGAACTTCCCCAGCGCATGCCCCACAGCATCTGTGGTGACAGTGACACTTGCCACCAGGAGGGCTGGGTTCCGTGCTGGGTTTGTATATATCTGCGTACATTTCATTTGATTATTATTTCCATTAAAGCTGTTTTAGTTTTCCTTTTCACCTCATAAATGTCTCACCCTTATTACCTTCCTCTTCCCTATTGGGAAGGGAGTGGATTTTTATAGAGAGCATCTGTCATCCATGCAGTGCCTTGCCCAGCCCTAGCTTGGGAGAGCGTTAAAGGGTTTAACCCTTGATAGCAGTTAAAATAAGGCCACAGAGAGATTCAAGACACAGGACGACTCAGAAAACATACTATGGAGAGCACACTCAAGTCTCCTATGAGGCTTCCCCTCCAGAGGGCAGCCAGGCTAACCATGGCAATGGCTGAAGGTGACACAGCCACTTTAAGACATGCCATCATACAAGGAACCCAGGCATAACTTTACACCACGTAAGGCAGCACTGCTTAAGGGGATGTTGCCACTCTTTGAAACGTGTTCGAAGCACAAGAGCTTTCACTACTACATGTGATATCTGCAGCATATATACCAGCACCTATGGCTGGTATAGTCTCTCAAATCCAGTAAAATTTAAATCTGAGGCAGTATTGTATTTGAAAGCTGTCTTGGAACAAGTCAAAACTAGCACAGCAAATAGCTTCAGCTGAGAATACATAAATAAGTCTATTAAAAGTGTTTTTATACTCGTATCTGTGGGTCATGCTTCTCTGAGTGAGAGATTTAGGAATAAAGCGACATCAGAACAATCTTTTGAAAAAAATATTCCCAGAGATCAGCTTGATCCTTACAGCAGTCGTTGTTAAAGAAACAAGCCTGGATAAGACCAATACCAATCGCACAGTCTTCGCTCCAAGCTCATAGCTCTGCAGATAGCAGGTCTGGGGATGTGCACAAACGTAACCGTCATTCTGCAGCTCCAATTCATGAGGAGAGACAATGGACCTCCATTACAACAGGGTGTTTTCTGCAGCTCTATGGAGATTTAGTCAGAAGAAGTTTTTTTTCTCAGCTCTTCCTCTTTGTAACTGTTCTTATTCCCAGGAAGACTCTACAAAAAGTGACGCACAGGTCAGAAGTATTCCTTGCTGAGAATTTAACTGCTATTCAAAGAACAAATCCAGTGCCCTGCCTTTTCAAAGTTCAGCTCCTCTATGCAGAGTTTGGCTGCAATTTGAAAAAATGAAAAGCAGGAATCTAGCTTTTTACTGAACAAGCCCAACTGCCTTGGATAGACTACATAAAACTGCTTCAAAAACTTACATTCTGCTTTTAGGAAGTCACAAGCCAGGCACTATTTAAGAATACGTAAACCGCTTTATTTTTACTGTCTGAGAATAGACAAAAATGCAAAGTAGAACACAAACTGGGAAGTCAAACCCCATATGGTTCAATGTTATACTTCATACCAAACTGAACAGGACAGCAAGAGGAGTATCACAACACCCAGCGTCCAGAATTCCAAATGCAGTTTTCCTTTCACTCCCAGCTCTGCCAGGAGCCACTGTGGTCTATACACAGCAACCAGGAACCTTTGCCACAAATCAAGGGATTGTTCCATACATGCTGTGAAGACAGCTTTGAGAGGCAAACTGTGCCAAGTTATAAAAATAATGGCATTTAAGAGGATTCCCTAGAACTGCTTCCTGCAAGGTAGACAAGCACTTCCCGCACAGGAAGAGCATTGCCACAAGGTGCTGTGGGCAAGTCACCACGTAGCCATTCGGGCTAGTGAGCAGACCCGTGCTGGTGGCTGTGGGTTGTTTAACTTATTTCTTAGAGCTACACAGGGAGGCTTCATGCTCTTGTCTTCACAGTTCTCAAGTTCTTGCTGTGCACAGTTCCTGGTAGCAATCTTAAGGCTACTTATATCTTATCATAAAATGTTTTTAGATGCCAAAGGAAAATAATTACAGTAAAAAGTCTTCCTTGTGCCAGTCCAAGCACAAAGGTTGAAGTGTTTCCCTTTTCTTTGGGTTCTGATTCAGTAAAGCAGAGGACCTTTGAAATTCTCCACCCAGACCACATACTAGTACTCTGTCTTTGTACACCCATTTTGGATCCAAAGCTGTAGGAAGTACACATTCAAAGACTTAAATACTTTTCCCCTTTACTCAGCTGAGCATAAGATTCCTATTCGTATTTAGCTTTGAAAGACTGAGAAACAGATTCCTGGTAAACTCTTCCCTAGGACTGTAGTGACACATCTGAAACACAAACACCTTTAAAATACTCCCTTCTCACCACAAGGTAAAACAACAGTCTGGGTGAACCCTGCATTATACAAACAAGCATTTACTTTTGAAGAGTATCTAACTCCTAATTCAACCAAGGAGCTTTGCACCATTATGAAAAATACAAATATCAGAGCTGCAAATGACAGCAGAGAACAGGCTACCAGATTTTGTGTCATCTTTGTAAGAAAGCTTATGTATTAAGATGTAAGACTCTTGCACCTGAAGTAAAAAACAGCTTGGGGAACAACTGCCAAAGTGTGCTGCAGTTCACAACTATCTATTGGCTTAAAACACAAAGAAGGAAAACGATCATGAAATCACACGAAAACTTAGGCTGACTTCTGCCAGCACTGCAACAGTTCTTCATGGAAGCACGGGGTGTTATTGGTTCTGGTGTACACAACTTACCTTCTAATTTAGGTCAGTATCTAGCCATTGATAACAAACCTAACCTTGAGCCCATTCTTATCTGATTACTGACAAAACAAACAAATTAAGTCTATAAAAGTCATACTGAACTATTACACAGTGTTTATAAACACAGCAACTTAAACTAAATATGTCTTGCAGTTTCTCCAAATGCATTTTCAACTATGTACATGCACGCATTCTTATGCCTCCAGCATTTCCCCAAGACATCTGCACACAGCAGAGTAAAAATGAACTAACACCTGAACCAGGAAGCAGTGTAAGGCAGCTAACATACCCAGTGGGACAGTTCAGAGACAACACACCAAAGGCTGTGGAAGGGCTAAATCGAGTGGGATTGACCTACTGGCCTGGGCAGCCAAGTGTCCGTGCTGTACCCGGGTTACACAGAGGTGTGCCCACAGGCCTCCACAGAGCAAAGCTCCACATCCAGTGTCCTCAGCCCTTGGACCACCTGAGGGTTTCTCTGCTTTGCTAGTTTTTTAACAGGTTTTTGGTTCCAACATCCCAAGTTCAGCTCAAAATAGATTTGTGCTGGACAGAATTAACACCAGAATTAAACGTTTCTGATGTGCACTACCACATCCTCCTGTTTCTCTCATGGGAAAACTTCCCATCAACACAGTAAACTCACCACACTTCCCTACTCAGCCACCTCTGCCCCTGCCACAGAAAGGCCACACTTACCAGTGGGTGGACAGGTGGAATCAGTAATTATTGCAACTGCTCTTCATCAGAACTATCACATCTACAAGTGGATACCATGTAAAGCTAATAAAGGACAAAATATCACCACTGCCATCTTCTCCCCTCCTTGCTTATTCTATTAATTTTGTTGCCATTCCAGCAGCAATCTCTTTGGGGATAGGTGGTTTTATTATGCTGTGATATGGCATGCAGAGGCATAATCTAAGGCTTACAGATGCACATGGTATAAACTGTGCCTGGCAGTATTAACCCATTGTTAGAAACACATTTTTCAACTCCAGTGAAACGAGAGCCTGTAACATATGCTATGGGCTAATAATCAGCTTTCAAAGACCAAGAAGAAAATGCTAGGATACCGCAAAACTAAGCGGCAAGTTCTAGGAACAGAAAATAATAAATTTAAAAGAGATTACCCAGCAACCTAAGTGGATTTTTCATCTGTTCTATTACACAAATCCTACATGGGATCACTGTGTCCACAATGAATACATACGACCATAAAACCAACCACATTAGAGAAAATAAATGTAAGATTTTCATCTCCTCTTTATATTGGCACAGCACTTTGAAAATCTCTGCTATGCACTTATTATGATACATTTAACATCTCAATTTGCCTCAAGGGAAATGCAAACATTTGCTCTCCAACTATTTTTTAATAAACAATTAAAAGAAACAAACTGTAGAAAGTAGCACACACCGCGTGCTGAATATTGGAACCCTTTGCCTTTCCTTCAGCGGTCGACGACAGGCCGGAGCCCAGCGGCGGGGCCTCTCCTCCCCTGAAGAGCACAGCCTGCTGGCACTTCCCTCCGCCCCGTGCCTCGCCTTCCCCGCCAACACAGGAGCTCTCTCAACGAGTGGCTCCTTCTTCCAGACAGATCTAACCCGGACGTGGTTCTGAGACTCTGCTCTCACGTTTATCATCTACACCCCCAGGTAACCTTTGGAATTTTCTCTCACGAGAGCCAGCCATTCTTCCCCATCAGCACTTCCTCAGAAGAGCCATCACACAACTGCTTATTGGAAGGGTCCTCTGGAGGTCATCTAGGTCAACCTCTCATTCACCCGAGCAGGAGAATTGTCAACACTGGACCAGATCAACTAGGGCTTTGTCTGGCCAAGGCTTGAAGACCTCTGAAAGTTTTCGATCTCCTCCAAGGATGGAGGCTCCACAACCTCTCCAGCTTCCACTGGTACACTAACTACTTAGTTCAAGGTTTTCCTAATCTGAATTTCTGTTATGCTCCTTTAAAATGCCCATCACTTCTCATCACCTGCAAAAGACATTTAAATGGCCTTTTACTAGCCCATCTCAAGGCAGCCAATCTCAGAAGCCACATTCTATAAGTTCGGCTGCCCTTCTCCCTGCTTTTACAACAACAAAGTACCAACAGCACTGGGCAGGGGAAAACCTGGAAGGGATGACCCATACAGGCATGCCTAGGAGGCAGCGTACCCCCATGAGAAATTCTGAACTTGCTAGATGTTCTCACTCCACCCTCACCTCTCTCAGGACAGACATGGCACTTGGCCAGTGCAACCATCCTTTATCTGGGACGTTTAGCATCGTGCAAGAAAAGTGCAGGTGGGCTAAAGTTATCTTCTCAATTCCACTTTCAAGGCTCTTGCAGCTGCCTACAACGGTCTTAGCCAAACAATTTGTAGCTAGACAGTCTAAAAGTGGTACTGTGAGCTCAACACAGCTTTCTGGTCCATTTGAGCATATAAGTCAAATCGACAGCACCACTGGAGCACCAAAAGCCCACAAGATTGACAGACTTTTCCACCTTCAGTTGTTTTCTGAATCTGCTCATCTTCAAACATTCAGCTGCTCTCCCATTTCAGTCAATGGGATAAACTGGAGAAATCCACAGAATGAGTCTGAAGTTCATCACCAATGAAACTAAGTGCTATTATCTTTAAAAGAGCCACCAGTGGCTTCAAACCATCTTAGAGTCAAGGTGAAATAAACAACATAGTTAGACACTTTTCTTCCCCTCCACTGCTATACTCTTCCAGCTGTTTCCAAGTCCGACCATAAAATCAACTACCAAAGTTCAGGTTCAAAAACTGGAAGAGTGCAACTGCAGTTTAGCATATTTAAGCAGTTAAAACTTCTTGATAACATTTAGCATTGCTATTTAAGCATGAGGTTTAAATCTAGCCCTATGGAAAACATCTTTGAGGCCCAGCAGAGACACTCCTGAAATCAGCAGGTTTCTGCAGTAGAAGCAGCCACACTCTCATCATTTTAAATTACCAGACCACTCTAATGTCTTACTGCTAATTACTGCTTCAGAATCTTGATATTATTTCTTAAATAGTACACCAGGGAAAAAAGTGCTGTCTGAACTGAACTCTTCATAAACAAGATTACAGTCAATTCAGAGATTTCCACATGGCTAATTGTGTGCTACAAGACGTATATTTAAGGTATCCTTGACACACCCCAGGAAAACCAAAGTATTTTCACAGCTAAACCAAATTCCACGCTTATTGCTATTTCTAGAGCTATACTAGTATTTCCTGCCTTAAACACGTTTAGTGATTTTCTTCTTGTTGGTCTGCTCAAACAATATATTTAAAATGCACACTTTCCACAAACTCTCTTAGTTGTATGCTCATTATAGAGGCATGTCATATGGCCAAGAACAGGAGCAAGGCCGGCTCTCTACGACTAGCCATCTTTTCCACACAGTAACTCACCCTGAAAATAAAGATTTAAGTCGGATGACAGACAAAAAAATAGCTTAATTCAGCCGAGTAACACCTGCATCCCTTTCAGCACAGGTACACCTGTGTAGGTTTGACAGGCACAGCCGTGTATGTTGCACCGGGAATACACCGCCTGTATGGGGAATAACTTCACCCAGCCCAACTGCATCCACTGAGCCTGAACCATGTCTGTGCTCACCAAAACAAATATGGTACTCCAAAAGAATAAATGGTAAGAAATATTCTTACAGCTGTGCTTATCGAAGGGGGGTATTCAGCATAATTTAATAGAAGACTTGTAACCGAATATTAACAAACAATCTTAAAAAAAGAAAAAGTTGATTAACCCTTAAAATGCAAAACAGTTCTGCAGCCGCCTGTGCAGGTGCTTAGTACACCGCTTAAATGCCATCTTCATTAAAAACTGCACGCATCCCAAAAACCCGATTCTATCGCTCCCTGTTCCAAGACAGGCCCCTCCAACACCCCCCGGGTCAGACCTCCAGAACCCCGAAACCTCACCCGAAAAGGACGCAGGGAACCTCGTCATGCAGGTCCCGAATCCCCGGCCCGGCAACACCCGCCTCGCCGCCCCCCCGGCCCGGCCCGGCCCGCGGCCTTACACGGCTTCTTGGCATCCTTGATCTTCATG